GCCAGATGGAGAAGTTAAAGCCTGTTGATCCTAAGGCTTATAACTGGCTAGTGAAGAAGCCTCCAAATCATTGGTCAATATCTCACTTTAATTTAACACCTAAATGTGATATCTTAACTAATAACATGTGTGTGAGCTTCAATTCTCTTATTTTGTCTGTTAGAGAAAAAACATAATAGGGCTACTTGATACAGTGAGAAACATCATGATGGAAAGGATGCATTCTAACAGGGAGCAAGCCAAGAAATGTGATGGTATTATCTGTCCTAGGATAAAAAAAGTTTTGGATGGGAACATGAAGAAAGCAGGAGAACTCATCCCTATGAGGTATGATGAGTGAAATTTTCAAATTATGGGGCCTTTTGAACATAATATTGTTGATGTTCTTGGAAGATCTTGTTCTTGTAGGAAGTGGGAACTGACTGGACTCCCATGTAAGCATGTTATTTTTGCCATTTGGTGTAGAAAAGAAGAGCTGGGGTGGTATGTTCATCAGTTGTACACTGTTGAAACATATAGAAAGGCATATGGACTGTCAATATTAGGCATAAATGGTCCTGATTTGTGGCCTAATGTTGAACTTCCACAACCTATCCCTCCTACAATTATGAAGAGAGCTGGAAGGCCTAAGAAGGCAAGGAGGAGAAATCCAACTAAGCCACCAAGTGCATTGCCTCATAATCCCCTGAGATTGAAAAAGCACCAGAGGAGTGTGGCATGCAGAGTTTGTGGATAACATGGTCACAATGCTAGAAAGCATAAGAAGGTTGACCGAAATGAAGAACAAGAGGAGGTCCAACTGAGTGATCTCAACCTCCACTATCTAGTGACCGTGTTTCCTCAAGTCAGTCCTTTGCACCAACATCTCTAAAAAAAACAATGATGCTTAAGCTAGCAAAAATATGATAATTTATCGTGTTTTTTTTTTTTTTTTNNNNTTTGAATTGTACCTCATTTACTATGTCTATTACTCTGTTTTTTTATATAAACTTAACATATATTTACTCTATATTTTATATTCTCAGGAAAAGAGCAGAATGAAATGGGAATGGGAATGAGAATCAAAGACAGACTATCAATGTGAGTTATTTTGTTATTATCATTATAATTTTTTATAGAACTGTGAACTTTAGTTTAGTTGGATTGGAGTTTGAGTTCTTTGTGTAAATGATTCCTTAATTACATATTACAAATGCAAGTCACTCAATCTGAGGGAGTCACTTGTCAAATTATGGTGAAAGGAGGTGTGAATTACATAATAGTGTCCCAACACTTGAGTTGCCTTGAGGCCAAGGAATAGGATAAATCCTGGTAAGAACAAGGCTGCAAACAAATGATTGTGGATTTGTGTTGGCACATTCTGAAATTATGTTGGATTTATTTTGGTTTTATTGTGTTGTAATATGATAATGAGTTATTTGGTGATTTTGGAATTATGCTTGATTATGGATTTGTGTTTATGATGATGGATTATTTGTGGATTGTGGTTTGAACAAGGTTGTGGATTGTGTTCTTGTAGTGACTGGTTTGGAAATGGATTTAAGAGATAATGTGTTCTTTTGTCTTGGATAATGTTGATTGAGTTGTTAAGAGGATAATGTTGTTCATTTGCTTTGGGTCAAGTAATTTGTAATGGGATATTAGATTAATTGAATTGATAATGATGATTTCATTGACATGGAAAATAATGATTACATATGTTGCATATACTAATTTTTGCTATTTAGTACATAAAACACACCTATTACAGCTAAAAAAAGACTCTTAGTTTTACAATGGATTTCTTCTTTTCATTTTTTAATGCAGCTAGTTGTTGTTCCATTGTAATTCTCTTGTTATTGGCTTTCCTCAATTCAGCTTCCAGTTTCCTTTCTCTTATCATGAAATCATTGAGCTCAATCTCAAGCTTGTTCAATTTTGAAAGCAGTCCGAGTATTATTTGTTTGGAACGAGCACACATTTCTAGATCCATCCACTTGTAAAATACACAATATTCAATTGTTTGCAAGAGAGAAAAAAACAATCATAAATTTTGTTATAAATATGACAACAAAAAATCAAAATAATACCTCATATTTTGGGGATGCACAATATCTTCTTTTGGGATTGTTTTTTGTCCAAGATGTCTTCAATGGGAGCTCTTCACCACAGTAACACAAATATTTTTGGACTTGAATGTTATTATTCCAAGAACTACTGCTTGAACTAGACTTCTCATTTTTTTTCAATTTTTTTAAAATTTTTTGTAATATTTTTTTGTGACTGACTGTGTTTTTCTGATGAAAATTTTTTGGTACATATGGCTTATGTATATAGGATTCATCAGGCGCAAAAAAAAATACAATTCCCTCCATTTTCACCACTAACGTTAACAGCTAACGAGCTTTTGACGGACATCCAACGGTCGAGTACTAACGTTGCTAACAGAATAAAAACTTAGGTACTGATGTCGCACAACTTTCAAAACAGGTACTGATTTCAAAATGACCTTTAGTTTTGGTACTAAAACTGCAATTTACCCTTAGTAAGTCTTCTAGAATATTAACATGTAAAGGGATTTATGTATTATAGAATGCTACCATGTTGGAAAACATAAAATGTCTTTTAGAAGGTAACTAAGTTTAAAGGCATTAGGACTTCTAGAAGGTTAATGAGTTGGAAGACAAGGATTTCTAAACCTATTTATTGAGGCCCATATTAGCACCTTCTTAGGATCCCTATTATAATATATAAATACATCAAGTTCTCTAGCCTCCAAACACATTTTTCTACATGCATAGATAAGGACTCACATGTCCAAAACTCGTGCAAAATAGGAGATCTACCCTTCGAAATATTTGGATGAAATCGAAA